ATTAAAAATCTTACTGTTCAAAAACTGTTGACTGGTAGGTTATATAGATTACAGAAATGTTGTATTGTAATATATATATATATATATATATAGGTATATATATATAAACATTTCTGTCCCCCTTACTTCTGAAATGATGGCTACGCCCCTGCAGTGAGCATATGAGGTTTGTGTAACGAATCAGTCCACTGAAGGTGAGCGTAGTGAAGAACCCAAGTGCAGTTTATTAGATTTGGACCTTTGAATGTAGACTTTGAGAACCCCTGCATTAGGGGCTTCATTGAAGTCACCTCCAATCAGTAAATAACCATCTGTGTATTTTCTTTTTAGGTCTAGTAATATCAGGCTAAGTTTTTCAAACATACATGCATTTAAAGAGTTATTATTATGTCCATAAACATTGCAAATAATAAGACGTATTGTCTATGTTTAAAATTATTATAATCCACCTCCCTTCACCAGAATACAGAGTTTCCACTACATCTCCCTTCAATTTATTCAAGAAAACAGTTGAGTGTTGCATCTTTTTCCCATTCAAAACTATACGAATGACACGTCTTGGGTATTCTATAGTCTTTGATACAACATTAGCTAACTGACTGGCAAGCTAGTTACTGTCTAACTTTGACAACTTGGCAGGCTATTTGATCCAGTGTAAAGTGTTTTGATGATGTACGATTAAGTGTATGCATAACATGAATGATGTCCAATCCCCAACGTTTCAAACAAAGATTCATCAGGGAGGGTGAGCGTCAGGGCTACCTGTTACAGGTCGAGAAAGAGCGAGAAGACTCACGACCTCAGAGTAGGGAGTAGAAATAAGAAGTGTTCATCAGTTCAAAGCCTCAATCAGGTTCATGTTCTGTGGTTTTGATGTGGCTAGGGAGGGTAACGTTAACCTGTAATTTAGGATTCAAAGCCTAGCCCAGCTGACGTTTTGCAAGCAGGTTGCATAGTAACAATTGCTAACATCGACTGGTAACATTAGCTATTTGTGTGTTATTTCTTTCTTTCCGTATATTTGCAGAATAAATGACCTAAACATACACCTAGCTTTCATTGAAACCACAGAAACTGGTTGTGACGCTGCTGTTCTTTACTGCAGGGGGGGGCTATTATTTATTGTAATAGCATTATATAGTGGTTCAACGCATTATATTGTGGCTTTTTTGAGTCACAGATCAGACTATTTTTTCGGATGAGCAAGAAAAAAAATATTTAAAGCACAGAGAATGACAATGCCGTGAAGGGTTTTTGACATAGGCTAATTTTATGTGTATGTAGGCTATACGCAACTCGGTATTTCCGCACTGTCTAACTTGTGCGCGCTTTGATTGTATACGAGAACAGCGAGTGAGAAACGAATTGAGCTCTCTTTCGTTTCTTCTTCTTGTGGTTTAAAATTGCTTGTACGTGTAAATTGGCAAATTAATCTGCGATTCACGTGCGTGCCGAACGGTAGGGTCTCATCCGTACGTATTACGGATCAACTGCGATCCGGTTAACTCCAGATCAGAGCAATCTTTCATTTAGGCTAGCCTACTTATTTAACATGAAATTGTCAAATTG